TGTTATCTGATTGTATGCCGCTGCTGTTGTGAGAATTATAACATTATTATTGTATAAATATGTTATGTCATTGTATTTAGACGCAGTGTATCAATGATAGGCGCATCTAAAATGTCCTTAATGGACCAAGACGCTATTTTTGAGTTAAAGGGACTATACCTAAATATTATGTTGGAAAGTTTAATATTGTCACGTTTGTCTCCCTTATCATTACTAAGTGTTTTGTAATAAAATGTATTTAAGGTTAAAAAAGTCATCCCAGTGAAATAGACTCCAATATCATTTTACTTAATGTTATCAGACGTCCTAAAATAGGAAGACATGTCCTCATTTTTTTTTGGATCGTGTCCGCTTCAGCTGTCCTCGTTTGTTTACTTTTAGGCATATTGTCCAACTATCGTTCATAAAGTCTGATTTAAATCCAAACATCTCTTCTTAAAAGCAGAATAATCGATTTTGAAAACCTCCTTCAAGAACAGGTGCTTGTATATTGTTATGATATATATTTATAGTATTTCTAAGTAGTCATCTTGAGACCAAAAGAGTAGATAGAATTAGAGACAGCAAACACGACGCCATGTTTAGAGACGCCAGACGTGACTATAGAGACGCTTAGAGGGGAAGACGCGACGACCATTTAATAAAAGTTTTAAATGCTTACTACAGATTTATCCAATTCTTTAAAGAGTGTCCTGAAAGGCAGAGCAGATGTGCGGACTCGAATATTCGTTATACCTTTTGAGCGGAGCATAACAATATTAACGATTGCTCAAAAGAAACCTGCTTCTTGTATCTTTTCAACATCTTTGTTATTTTTTTTTCTTTTCAAGATTAATCCTAGCGTTCTAATCGGGGTTTGCGTTGACCAATGAACAAGGGACAAAAGAGAGAAATAGATCATCTTTTGACTCTAAGAATGGGTCTTTCCCATGAAGTGTCATCTGAAGAGAAGGTCTCACATGGGGTTCTAGATCGCTCTTAGTCTACGCTATGCGCAAATGAACCAATGTGAAAAGTCCCTTTGTGTGCGAACTAGACTATGCTATTTAATAAAGGAGTTTTAAATTATATATCTCATTTACTTAACTAGTTCACCAAAATAATTGTATACCTAGTTTTAAAAGTTTATCATGTGGGTTCTTATTTCCCGATAGTAAACACTTCTTCTAACCATGCATGTTTCTAAAAACTGTAATTATACAGGTCCAAGTTAAATAATTATTAAAGCCCATGGAACGATTTTTGAGACAATTCGGTCATTTTTTTTTTATGAAACTTAAAATTGTTATCTATAATCATCGACATATTAACAAATAATCAACAACGGAAGAGGAGGGTAAAGTTTCACCTTTCAGAACTTGAGAGACAGATGATGTTTCTATGGCAGGGTGTCATGTGGCCAGCACAACGGCCAACCGCCTTTACTTTCCCAACTAAAGTCAGACATTTATTAGGGTTGGGTGGGCTCAGGGGCGTCCTAAAATTCCCGAAATTTAAAATTCCTGTCTTCATCGAGATTCGAACCCCCAGGACCCAGGACATGAATCAATAAACAAAAAATCACTTAGTCAAGTAATTTTTAGCAATTAATTATTTTGGTTGATATCGAATAAAGAAATACCTTGTACATTATTGCTAGATATAGTTTTAAGGACGGAGTTTTTCCCCCTTTTTTTTTTTTTTGTTTTTCTAAAGGATTTTTTATATTTTGTTTGTTTTTGACTAAAATTAGAAGCTATAGATATGGTGATTTTAGAGACCTAGATATTTCCCAGAATAGGCCTATAAACTTGTAACTAGATGTAGATCTAGATTATGGACGATCTTATGGGCTGCAAGCAAAAGAATAATAGATAAATACTAAAATTAAAATACCTAGATTGCTCCTATATTCTAGTTCTAGATTTAAAAAAAATGTAATTTGTATTTGAATATATTCTATAATAGAAAGAATTTATATACAAGCCATTAGATATCTTCTGAAAATCAAAAGTTAATTGTATAAATGGAATCTCTGCCAATTAGAAATGTAGATATCAATCCTTTCCCCATGTAGGTTACATAAACTAGATCCATAAATTTCCATAACTGTGACGTCATTACTTTCAATATCCATTTCCTCTTCCGCACTAGATTTAGAATGACATGAGGGTTAGCAGAAGTACGCAACAGATGGAGATGCCATCTTTGTTGTTCACTTGAAATGCATGTTATTTAGTAAAACTTGATGTCTTTAGTTTAAACACACAAACTCACGCATACATAAAATAAATATCTTTAAAAAAAAACTCCTTCGTGAAAAGATTTTGTATTGTCAAGGCTGTTCAAAAGGGACTTGTTTCTCAAAATATGCTTTTTACAAAAGCTCTATTCAGCTTCTAACTTCTTGAAACCTGGAATCTTCTGGGTGGGTGGAAAAACCTGGAAACGGTTCTCGAAAGCGGTTCTACTCTAAAGATTTTCATAGAAATTTGACAATAGCTGAATTTTGTTAGGAAAAGAATTACTAGCTCGTTGGCCACGCTAGAAAATTTCTAGTCCGACTGTTAAAATAAAATAAAAAAAATAAATAAAATAAATAAAAATAAATAAGATTAAACTTAGCGAGAACATATTTATCTTTTAGGCATTATTTATTCAAGAGTTTAATAAATTAATGTTCAGGACCATTTTGCGCATCTTACTCTAATAAGGCTTTCTTCGAGTCCGATGATCAATGAGGAATGCAGTACCTTCAGTGCTACGCAGCCCCAGCTGTGACCTATATATTTCGCCACATCCAGCTCAGGCATGATAATTGTATGGCGGTGGTCGATTTAGATTTTGTTTTCGCCGTCTACGTCTGTCATCGACAGCGGATTTTCTTTTGGTACCAATGGTGTCTCCCGCGGCCTTTGTAGGTGACCTCCAGCCGTCTCGTTCTGATGCCGCATGCAACCAGGTGCTCTCTTCTATGTTAGTTAAACTACAGGGCAAGTTGGCGCATAAGCTTGTCTTTAAAGCGTTTCCGTGGGGTACCTCTGTTACGTCGACCACCTTTCAGCTCACAAAAAAAGACTGCTTTGACATCGTCTTCAAATACTTGCTCTAAAGGACTATGATTGGAATATTATAAAACTACTAGATCTATACAGAAATAAAAAAAGAACAGACTACGTTGGCCAGGTCACCTTGAAGGAATGTCAGAGAACAGAGGCGCGAAAATTATATACAGGCAGATACCAAAAGGCAGATGACCCGACAGGTAGACCCTGAATTCGATGGATTGATGATGTGGAGGCAGATCTACAACAGCTTGGGGCTCTGGCATGGAGACGAAGAGCGCAGGAGAGATCTGAATGGAGGGATGTGTTGAGGTAGGCCAGAGCCCTCCATGGGCTGTATCACCGTTGGGAATGGGATGAATGGATAGTAGATCTATACATTCCCTTAACCAGGATTCTTTTTACTTATTACAAACTTAAGTTTAGGAGTCGTTGCTTATATTATTAAAGAGGCGCCATTCAAAACCAATAAAAACTATTAATAACTTAATTATTTTGTTCGAAATGAACAAGGGTCTGCAAGGGGAGTGGAGTTATTGTTATTTTCTATTTCAGTAGATAATTTTAAAAAATTGGTATGATATTTTAAAAGAAAATGAGTCTCCACCAGCGCTAGAGAGTTTTTTTTAACGCTATTGATCATACCTTGTTGATGTCCAAGGGCTGAGCCGAATGCTCTTCGAGCTCTAAGTTTGAAAAAAAAACCTGTTTGGACGCCTAACAGTAAAAAAAAACAAACCTGTGAGAACACAGTTCTGTTTGAGAGAGACCCGAGTCAATGCCTATGTAAAGCATTGCTGTTTCCAATGCCTTTGGCCCCCGACGCATGCTTGGCTGCACATGGTCGAAGGCCGAGGGCACCGGGAGCCTCCGCCATTTTCCTTCGTTGTACCAAGCTAACTGTGCGGGGCTCGCCATTTATGTAACGGTCCCTTTCAGGAACAGCGCATGGATGTAGGACGTGTTTGTGGGGACTTTTTTACAAACCCGCCCGTGCAAGAGGTTGACTCTCGTTGTCACGAGTCGAGTCTGTGACCTATTTCGACCAGTTTCTAGAAGCTCAAGTTCAACCAGTGCAGTGTCCAGCGTAAACAAGTTAATTTTAGATATCTAATCGAGGTTAAGGGAAAAAAATAGCACACGTCAGCTTCTAGAAGGTCAAAGTTACTAAAATAATTATCGGAGAAGGTTCCAGGATTCTGGAACGTACGATCAAAGAAAGTATAAATTAAGGGAAAATCAGTCAGACGGGGTCCTCGCATAGTAGTAGTTCTTGTAGAGCGTTGGTCCTCACACAGTCCTCGATTACTAATAAGTTTTGTGATATTAGCGGGTCCATTGAGTAAAGTTTTAGTATTTGAAGTTGACGTTATACTAAGTGAAGTTTCATGTATCATTTAAGTTTTATTTATGAAGTATCAAGTCAAGTTGTTATTGAATTAAGAAGTTAATTTGATGTGAAAGTTGGAGAAGTTATTAAAGAAGTTTGAAGAAAATACAGAGAGATGTTTCTTTCTTCATTTCATTGAATTGTCAAGTTTGATAATATAATCCCAGGCAAGTGTGATCATCACACTCGTCTACCCGTGGGCATCCCCACGGGAGTTATGTTTCGCCATTCATTTAGCCTAGCTACCCCCTCAAGTAGCCGTTTCCACCCAGGTGCCACGATGAGGCAGAACAGCGTATTAGTATAGTGCCATATCTACAAGTTGAAAAGACAAGACAACTGTATCGCTTTGAAAATTGACATAATATTGGTTTCAATGACTCTGATTAAAAGTATACGTCTAAGCAGCAGTGTACACACTTTAAACACGCAATAGAAACAAAGAATAGTTTATAAAAACAAACCTTATATAAGGGAAGGACCGTTTAGTGCCATTCATTGGACAATTACAGGGTTTAGCTCCTTTACTGTACTATAAAACAAAATTAATTCATAAGAATTATATCATAAAGTGAGTAAAAATAGATTTATTTCTGAAGTTCACATAATATATTATACAAATATCAACTTATATTTATGTGATGTCTTTATTGTAAGGCTAAACACTTTGAACATTTAACCCCAAAAAAATCTCATTTGCATTGTTTAATTCACCATAAAAACAAACAAACAAACAAAATACAACAAAGAAGCTCATTAGTTTCGACAAATCTTTTTTTCAAAGGAACAATAAATATATTTCTTGAAATGAAAAAAAAAGCCAGCAATTATGTACTCCCAATTGAATAAAGGCCAAAACTAGACCAATGTACACTAAACTCCAATGTACACTACACTCCAATGTACACTACACTCCAATGTACACTAAACTCCAATGTACACTAAACTCCAATGTACACTAAATTTCCTTTCTGTAGCCCTACAGTTTCATTGTTCATATTAAAAAATTATATTAAATTTTGTCCATGACATTATATTGTATGTATTAAATAGAAATATACACAAGTATATTCAACTGTGAAAGGAAAGAATAAAGGGCATATTTTTAACGAAAATTAAATTTTAAACACAATACAAATGTTTTCTAGATTTACTTGTTTCAAGACTTCAAGATTATAAAAGCAAGACCACAAAAACAATTTCATAAGTAGAAATTTATTTCACATAGTATCATCTTAAAGATTATATTCAAATATTTCTTTACCGCAAATCTGAAATAACAAAAGTCAATTTGTAACCGAAAAAAAAAGATTTTAATCCATCCCAATATCGTTTTCCAGTTTTTTCCAAAGTACATGTTTGGTAAGTTATAATCAATGGCGTTGCAAGAGATTTAAGGGCTCAGGTTGCTCGGCCCCTTTAGGGTCCCTACATTTTGACATTCGACATCATGACATGAGATAATATACTTAATAGATTTATACATGCAACATGGTCACTAATTTACATAACAACACGAATAGCAACATAACATGGCATTGGCTTTAATATTTAATGTAATAAATATTCCGATACTTATTTCGGAGGCCCCCCCCCCCCAATCAATTAGAGACCCGGGGGAATTTCGAATCTGGACTCCAACTCCCAACCCCCACCCTAGCTACGCCACTGGTAAAATGTTTTTTAAAAAATACAGCCTAAAAATATAAATTAAAAAAAAAAAAGTAAATGCGTTGAAATAAAAGGAAAGATATAAACTTTGAGTATACGCAGCCGCCATATGAAAGAAGACATTCCATTTTAGATAACATATAAGGATAACAAATCATAGATGAAATATGTTATAACCTTATTTCAAAACAAACAAAAAATGCACCCAGCCGAATAAAGCTAAGCTGTTTGACTTTGTCGGTGCTAGGGTGAAGGAATCAAATGAGTCCTCTAACTGATTCAGTAGGACAATGCCTTACTCCATTGTGGATAGCTGACAGCATACAAAAAAGACCTGCCAAATTACTTAGAGCATACACATGCTGCAAGAGGTACAAACTTACCCATACCTACTGTGTAATCTTTTTTTTAACTAGGATCGGATTAGTTTACAGTTATTAAGTTTTTTTTTAGTTATGACGTTGTTCTCATCTTGTGCTACGAAAAATGGGTACTCACCTACTGTAATTATCATTATTATCATAATTATCCGGAGTAGTAGAGCTACCTGTTAATGTGTAAACATCTGTACATCACTTTACAAGATACAAATAAATAAAATGGAGCACGCCATGCAGATATTTTGAACACTCGCAAACAGTTGTAAAATCATACACACACGCTGACATGCGAAAAAAGAAGGGCAAAAACTCCTTGAAATCATATTTAAATGTTAGAGGTCTGTTCCGGAAAGACTGATCACTGGGATGATGGAGCTAGTTTACCCGCTGTAGCTGTAATAGCTACTGGAACTGGTTTGTCTGTAAGCTGAAGCGCTTATACCGACGGTGACACCTATGATGATGGCCACTATGACGATGGTTGCGATGCCGACTCCGATGCTAACGTTGACCAGAGTCTTAGCCGATTGAGAGTAGGACCTGGCAGAAGCAAGATCTCCCCTTGCCATGGCACTGCGAGCCTAGAAATACAAAAGTAATTAGCATTACCATAAGGAAAAAATATTTTTAAAAATGCTTCTTAAAAACACAAAAAAAAATTAAAAAAATAAATAAATAAATAAATAATTATCAATTGGGAAGAACCGCAAAATCACTGCTATATATATCTTAGTACTATAGGAATAAGCTTTAGGAAAAAAGAAAAATAGTTAATTACCACTAATTGATGGTTATTTTAATTATTGATTCATGTATTGTCATTGACTAAGATAAATCATGCTAAATTCCAACTTGATCCGCGAATGGATAATAGAAATAACTCCACCATGGGCGTAGCCAGGATTTTTTTTTCGAGCGGGAGGGGGTTTGGGAAGGGATTTCTCCCCCCCCCCCCCCCCAAAAAAAAGTATATATATATATATATATGTTTGTGTGTATATAATTAAACTTTATTATATTCTGACCCTTCATTCTTTCGGAAGATGTTTAATGTACCCAATAATAAGTTCTTCCTGTAGTTAGTGGGAAATTATAGACACCCCGCCCTCGCCAGCAAGGGGGTCTGGGGAAACGCAGCGAGCTCCCCCCAGTGCGGGGCAAAGCCCCGCCGCCAAGCACAATTTCCGGTATTGAATGCCAACAAAATGCATATTCTGAGGTATCGACATGCATTATCCTGCAATTAAAAAAGTGTTATTGAAAAACTTATCTGCTATTCTTACTGACTTAGATCCTCTCGCGCCGTTCGGCGCATTGGGCGGAAAGCTGTTTCCGCAAAAATCTGTTAATGGCAATATCTGAAGCCTCTTTCCACCTGCTCTGGGACCTCCATGAATATGTGGCGCCAAGTTGTACTAGGTTGCCGACGCAACTCTTGTTATATGTAATTCATTTTGTCGGAAAACATGTCCCGCAAAACCTTATGCGACGCTCTTTCACTACCTTACTAAGAGGTTGACTCCCAGTTCGGCTTAGGTTTTTCTTAATTGAGACCTAATCTCTATAACTGACTCCTAAAATCTGTCTTAGCCATCTTTGTTAAGCCACATTTAGCCTTTTTCAATTTTGGCAGATGATTGTTCACTGCACTTTATTAATGAAGCTCAGCCACTGGTTGAAATTTGTAACCTCTCTTGACTATGCTCTTGGAATTATGTGACTGTAGTTTGCTTTAGACTTTATATCGAAAAGGGAAGTTTTATCGTCAAAATCTTTTGTTGGGGTGGGGGGGGGGGGGTTAAAACTAAAAAATCTCTTCGAGTTTTTTTTAGCAAACTCAAAACCCCATTTAGCTACGCTCATAGAATTTGGTGAGAGTAGTTTACTTTAGAATAATATTGAAGAGGGATTTTTCAACCTAAAAAAATCTCTGTAGGGGGATTTTAAACTCAAAACCATCTGGAAGGGTTTCAAACTTTTAAAAAAAGACATCTGGAATAGGGAGGTTTAAACTCAAAAACCCCCTTGGCTTTCCTACGATCAAAGAATTTTAGTGTGCAATTTACTTTTTTTTATATTGAAGAGGTATTTTTTTTATCATCAAACCCCTCTGAGGAGGGGTCTAAACTCAAAACCCTCTTTGGCTACGCTCATAGCATTTCGAGCGCGTAATTTGCTTTTTATAGATGTATTTTTAGCTTCCAACCCCGCTGAAAAGGGGTTTAAACTCAAAACCCATTTGACTACTCTCATAGAATTTTGAGTGTGTAATTTGCTTTTTTATATTGAAGAGCCGGTTTTACCGTAAATTTCGGAGGGGGTTTTAAATTCAAAATCTTCCTTAGCTATACTCTTTAAATTTTGGGGTTAGTCTTTTGCATTTTTTTCTTTTTGCTTTGTTTGATAGAAGAGGGGGATTTAAAGGCAAAACCCCCTGGTAGGAGGTTTTAAACTCAAAACCCACTTGGCTGCGCTGGGGCAAGTGATGATTTAGTATTAAAATCTCACCTAAAATAAACAAAATCAAAGCAAAAAAATCAGTCACTTAATTTCGACCCATTCCCAGCGGGGTGTGGGATTTTATTTCGGGGGGGAGGGGAATTTGACCCCCCCCCCCCTTCCTGGCTATGCCCATGAACTCCACATATACAGCCATCTCTCAATAAATTTTTTTCACTTTTTGGATATAAAAAAATTAACTAAAAACTAATAATCTATTAACTAATTTTTTTTTTATTGTTTCATGTTTAGTAATTGTATAAAATTTAAACGTGATCCGAGAATCAGCATAGGAGAAATAATGTGTACAAAATTGTACCAGACAGACAAAGAGACAGAATGAGTTGAAGTAAGCTTTGTAAAAGAAACAAAAGAGGTTTGACATGTTCATGTTTCTACTATCAAGTGGACCGAAACTTCAACATTGCTTTTGTTTTTTTGTTTTTTTTTAGAGAGGGGGGGGGCGTTCTAAAGTTGTTAAAAAGTAGAAATCAATATTTTACGAAGTCTAAGTTGAAAAGGTTTTTGTAAACGATGGGAAGTCAACATCAAAGAATGAACGGGCATGTCAGAGATTCTACAGAATGCTAAAGACATAAAGGAACGTAGAAGGACAGTTGCTTCGATTGATCATGTGTGGTGCCCCCCAACGGTCCAAGAAACTATGGGATAGGTGAAGGTGAAGGATTCTGACAAGCTCATTGCATTTTATCTCTTGTGTAATTAAATGTGTCATTCACGTGACGAATCTTCATTTCATAGTATTAGGAGTCAACATTTGTTTCGTGGTTTTTGAAATGGAAGAGTTATTACGTCAATGACCTATGTGTGTGTGTGTATCACATCGAATGAATGTGAACCAAAACTAATTTCTAGATCTTGAGGGTCTAAGTAATTAAATGACACCAAACACAAATATGTCTACAATCCTGTAAAATTTGAATATGTAAATGAACTTGATCAATTAAAGAAGGTTTAAAACATTAGGGTTGTTAGTTAGATATGGATGAGACTCGTCGATTATGAGAAAGAACCTCTTTTTATTTGCCAATCAAGTAGTTCAAATCACTTGTCGCATTCCACTGACTGAATAGAAGGACGAAATGAAATTATATTTGAAAAAAATTTGCTGTCGAAATTCAATTTTTCAAAATTAATCTGTCGTTGTCATGCTCAGACAATTTGTGCAATGTTTGCATATTCATACATTTGAAAGCTTTTTTTTTTCAGTAATGATACTTACAAAAAAGCTGTGATAGATTAACATTCATGTAACCAGGTTATGGCGAGCTCTTATCAAAATATTATTATTTTAATATCATTATATCTTATAGTAC